CGCCTCCATGTTTGGGTTTTTTCCTTTGGTGTAAAGTTTGACTCAACTGCCTCTGCTGGGGTTTCCACAGACGGCCCAGCTGTGATTGGTCAGCAGTCACCTGACCAATCACAGTGGAGCTTAGTCTGTCACCAACCAAAAGTGACATTAACTCTGAAGATTCTCTTGTTTCTCGGATGACCCTTTGACCTTTGACCTCTAACCCTCCACGTAATCCTCACGATGAACATTCAACACACGGTCATTTTAATTCCATCAAAGTTTCCCGGTGTTGGAGTGGAGGTTGTAGTGAGTCCCGGGTTCCTGCCGGTCCAGAAGGATTTCAGTTCTGTTTGAAACTTTTAAGAGCCGAAGCGTCTCCCTGTGTGACTGCCAACTAGTGGTCGTTATGGTTGTGGCGAGGGTTAGCATGTCTTCCAGGGATAACCACACAAAACGAACACACGAACCATTCCTTTCTGGTTCTGGTTTGTACGTGCTGTGTTCGAGTTGTTTAACAAATGATCTACAGGCCGTCCTCCTGGTGATGATGTCATCCTGGCGCTAACACAGCACCGCTCTGCAGCCCAGAAATCCTCCGAAGCCTGAGCTCCAGAAACAGTCTGAGGAAATTCAGAAGAGGGAGAAGGTCGACTCTGGACGACAGACTAGAAACAACCACTGTCTACAAATCCATTTTTAACAGAAATCAACCACAAACATCACAGAGTTCCACGGACGTCTGCTTGGAGGACAGGACCCAGTCAGGAAGTGTCTCCTCAGATGTTGAAGGTGTGCATGGGAGAGCTCCCAGAATGCCGCGCTGCACTAGCTGCGAGCTCCCCCGACTCCCTGGAAACGCCCTGCTCCAGTGACCCGTCACACCTCAGAGCATGTGCACATGTATGAATCGCAATTAGTCATGACACCGTGGAGCAAACCACAATAAGACGACGGTGACGTTGAGCTGCTCCGAGGCACGTTGCCAAGGTTACAGGAGAAAAGAACCGACAACAAACAATAACTAAACATTCCACACACAATGATGGAACCACGCCGCCGCCGCCGCCGCAGCCGACTCTCATGGTTCTAGAGTTTCACTGCTGGTAGAACAGTGAGGTTCTGTGGAGTCGACTGAAATAATCCTCATCAAACACATCATCTAAACCTGGTCTGATGACAAACACAGCCTGGAAATGAAAGGGCTGTGGCCCACATGGTGTCAGAAATGAAAGGGCTGCGGCCCACATGGTGTCAGAGCGGGAAATGCTTTTGCCTTGTAGTAAGATGGTTACTGGTTCAATCCCCTGTAGTAACTGTTGACTCATTCTGTCAGACGTTAGCATGTTGACAGGGGTGAATATATATTGACTCATATCCTGTAAACGTAGACATATATGTTGTTGTACTGGTTAAACGGAGAAAGCTGTACGACCTGTTGGTCACTACTTCACACCAGAGAATTATATTTACATGTATGTGTAAATATATACGGCGACAAACACACGAGCAGAGTGTGTGTCACGACAGACACAAGTATTAACAGTATCATGGGAGTGTGAGTGAAACCTGGCAGCCGGTCTGAAACACACCTTCGTCATTTCTCTGCACTGATTGTTTTCACTGATCACATGTGACTGAACCACACTGGTCTGATCACCTGGTCCGATCACCTGGTCCGATCACCTGGTCTTCAAGTCAACACTATCAGACAGCAGAAACATGTAAAGACAAATGCAGTTCATCAGTCGAAGGTAAACCTGACCTGAGATCCCAACAGATGATATGGGGTTTTTTAATGGTTTTTTAAGCACCCCCCAGTGGTCGACTCACTCCCCAGATGTCGACCACTGGGGGGTGGTGAAGGTCAGGTACTCACTGCTGCAGTGAGACAGTAGGACTGCAGAGGGAACAGGAGTCTGCAGTGACTGCACTGGGCTGGAATGCAGGCCTGCTGTGGCTAGTTAGCAATCCAGAGCTAAGCAGCAGCAGTAACAGCAGCAGCAGCAGCAGCAGCAGCAGTAACAGCAGCAGCAGCAGTAACAGCAGCAGCA